TGATTGTCAGCTCGCTTACATCGAGTAACTGTCAAAACAAAACAAAAATGCAAATGTAAAAAATGGGCAGAGAAGAAATTGCGTGAAATTTGAGTGGATTTGACGTTTTAAGTTTCAAGTGATTCATGTGATATGAATCATGTCAAGCAAAAAAATGGACTGAAAATATGATCTATGTGAATAAAAAAAACATGTAAATATATCCAGTTTCAGTACAAACTCACAATGCGTTCGATTTCCTTGGCAACGATGTCAAAGTGTAAGATGGCTTCACCGCTGATCGTTTGATTGTCGAAATCAATATTCCAGAACAATTCGGTGTGCCGGGTTACAACATTCTCTGGCTCAGAGTAACTACTAGGGTCACCTTTGCTTAAACGGCTCATACTGTTAGCTTCGAAATGTTTTCAAATTGCTAAAAACGAAAGAAAATTGTAAAATTGCGATTAATTGTCCAAAATCTATCACAAAATGTGAACAAATGAATATTTCAATAGTTTCTAAACAAAACCACTCAAGTTTGGTTCGTATAGATATTTCATCCATAGATAAGCTGCACACACACCATGAACAATGTTATCTATCTTGAAACTTAAAAAAAAGTTTTTTCTTAGTTCATTTGGAACACAAGTGGTTTTTGGTTAATTCGATTCACATTTAATAAGTGTGTTAATCTTCAAAATTGACCAATTTCAATGAGCCCACATCTGATAATTATCGTCCGGAATAGCAAATTGTATATTTTAAGAAATTCCACAATTTAACACACACACACAACAAGGAAACAATAACAACAACAACAACAAAGTGTATTCAATAGAAATGAGCGCAAACTGTGTATTTGATGCGAAAATATTTTCAATTTATTAAAATAAAACACACAATCAATAACCAAAATATATTAATTCTAGATTTGAACAGCGCTTGTTTGGGAGATACTGTTTTCTCGTCCAATGTTGTTGACGAAACGAAAAATTATGACTAAGCAATAATTAAATACAAGTCGCAGTGCAAACGTTGCAAATTATCTCAATGTTTGATAGCTATGAACTCACTGAATGCGAACCGCACTTTGGATAATAACATATCGAAGTGTGTGTGTACCGCCTTACTTTCTATTTACAGAAATGTCATCCAAACCGAATCACACTGAAACCGGTATGAGGGAACATTTATCACATACTCCCTGATAGATGAAACACATCATCGAATGATGCACGGAATCTGTCACAGTATTTTTTTGATTTAAAAACTTGATTGGTTTAATGGACTCAAATATTGAATGGCATTTTTCGAAACAGAATTTCTACACCAAGAAAAAAACGATTTATTTCAGGCAAAACGATATATTTTCATTCTGAATATTGACTTGGCGTCAGTGCCATCTATGAGTCAAGTGGTTAGTTTTTTATTCGATGAAAGTAGAAAAAAATATTTGAAAAAATAAAAATGAAAGAAACGAAAAAGATCTCATTTTTGATTCAGATAAAAGTGTTTGGTTTAAATCTATACCCAGTTTTTATTGATTAAAAAAAGTTGTTGAAAGCTTGATGTTTTTTCGTGTCAGCATCTATTTTCATAGCCTAATAGCTCGTCAATTTGTATGGGTTGAATGCGGAAATTCGTTTCTGATGGATTAAATGTTCCCGTCATAGTTTTCTAAAAAATTGTTGATTTGTGCTAAAAATATACTTTGTATATTTTCAATAAAATTTGAAAATGAATCGAACGAACCTGAAATCGGCAAGACATACTGAAAAGTTCTTCTTTTCCTTTTTCATTCATAACAACTTTTATTGCACTAATAAATTGAAACGTTTGTTCATTCTGAACCAGAGCTGGGCACGAACATCAATGTCCGACTGTGATCGGTCGTTCGTGTGCGTTTTTTTCCTTTTTTGTGATCGGTCGTTCGTTCGTTGAAGTTATTAATGGTCGGTCGGTCGTTCGTAAAAATTGGAATGTTCGTTGTGTTCGTTCGTATGTGCGATAGAACACCGAACACGTGCGGACGTCCGGATGTTCGAAGCAAAATTGTAAAATCAGGGTGGTTAAATAATTTATAATTGTACAAATTTAAAGAAAAAAATATTTAAATAAATAAATTTTCAAATAATTTCTAATTCATATAAATTTTCTTTCTCAAGTGTTGAAATTATAATTTTTTTTTATTACGAAATGATATGAAATTCATCTATATTTATTTCATCATTGAAAATGTGAGGTTATTTCAGGTATAGATTATACCAAATATATGGAATTTCCTAAAATTCGTAATAAGGAAATTTAATATTTTGTTAGTGTTCAAATTAAAATTCATTTATTTAATTATTATTATTTTTTGTAAATTTCAAAAAATTTAACAGAGAATTGTAAACTTGACTTGACAATTTTTGCGCCGAACATCCGAACGTCCGGACGTGTTCGGTGTTCGATCGCACATACGAACGAACACAACGAACATTTCAATTTTTACGAACGACCGACCGATCATTCATGATTTCAACGAACGAACGACCGACCACAAGCACATATTTTTTCAATGTACGAACGAACGACCGACTGTTCGTGCCCAGCTCTGTTCTGAACAAGGGTTCTCAGATTTTCTCTTGACATGACAGAGTGACATTTACATCAGCGCCGTATATCGAATTAATTTCGCTTGGCATAGGGGGAAATATTTTGACAAATAGTACTCGATCCTTTAAAATATAGAGAATTTTTATGAAAAACGTAAGAAGAATATTTAAAGATATGTTTCTGGTTTTTACTCGACCGTTCAAAAATTATGCATGTTGAATGAAGAGCTTATATATTGTCAAGCCAAAAAATGTATTATTGTGGAATGACATAGAGTGACATTTACATCAGCGCCGTATATCGGATTAATTTCGCTTAGCAAAGGGGGAAACGTCGTACTCGGTCCCTTATTTGTTCAAAAAAACAATAATTTCAATTTTTTTTTTCATAGATTGAACAAGAATCCAATGTAAAAAGTAATACCAATGCGACACCTACCGTAAAAATGCAAAAGGAAACTTATTTGGGATTGTAGCATTTTGGTCCGCCATGACAGCATCTTCGTTCTGCTTCTCTGCGATTGGTCAAGTAAAACGAAGATGCTGTCATGGCGTACCAAAATGCTACAATGGAGACCAACTAAGTTTCTTTTTGCATTTTTACGGTAGGTGTCGCATTGTCATTACTATTTACATTGGATTCTTATTTAATCGATGAAACATTTTTTCTTGAAATTATTGTAATTCATAAACAAATTAATTTTTTTATAAAGAAGATTTCTTTTGAATTGATAATTATCTGGCATACGTTTTAAATGGAATAAGATAGTATTTAAAAAAGAGAACAGGTATTTAACTGATAACCATGAAATCGGCATGTTTTCACTTTTGGATTTTTTTTCTTGAATTTTTGAATTGAAATATTAAAAGGAATTTAAAATGTTTTATATGAGAAAAGTTTAAATATGACATTGCATTGGATTTATTCAATTTGAGCCACCTTTCTTTTCTATAAAATAGAGTAATAGTGCGGTTCAAAAAAGACCATAATCGAAATTTTTCTATACAAAATTTCGTTGTATGAATTGAATCAAATATAAAAAAAACTCTGTCGAGAACAAAGGTGATCATGGGAATTTTTTCAAGGGGGTGAGGTGATGGCAAAATTCTATAGGAGATCCCTAACAAGGGAAATCTAATGTAAAGGCGGTTTGGATTAAGATTGATGACCTTTTTTAGATCGTCAAAAGACCTAGCAAATTAAATAAATTTTTCTGAGTTGACGAAATGTTATTTTCTAGTGTCCCCAAGAATGTTTTCAAGGGTTTAGATAGAAATTGTTGTTTTTTTTTTTGGTTTGGGGTGCTTTGCGAGGTATACTTACTTTAAAAATTACTATTCCATGAGGTAAGGTGTCTTTTGTGTGCGTAAGAAAAAAAATTTCACTTTTTTTGTGCATTATACCCAGTCTCCGAGAGTTTCATATAAAATTGCCATGTAACAGCAGAAAGACAGTCGAAAATATTGAAATTATATTGAGAGTCAATATTTTGCTTATTTTTCACGATTTCCCATCGAAAAAGTGGGAAAAATCGATTTAAGGTTTTTCCAATTTACATTTAGTATCACAATATTTGTTTATTTTGAGGAAATAAATTTTCATAAATTACGAACAATCCGAACATTTCATTTTCTACGAACGAACGAACGAACAAAAAGACCGAAAAATATTCTACGAACGAACGAACGGACAGCTATGGTGTGACGATTACTTTACTCTTAAGCTATACATATTTAATTTTCATTATATGTTTCCATTACTTCCATTACGTTGCATTACATATTGATTAATTTCCTTTATTTCCATTCTTTTCTTTGTGATTAACCCTAGGTGCTTTTTCTTTAGTGACAATGAGAGATAATAGATCATTTAAACGCATGTGCTCCATGTTTGCGTAGATATGTCGCTGCTTCGATGTGGCCTAGAAGAATGATAACATTTGAAGAAATCATTGAAACTGATTTAATTTAATGAAAATATATGTTCTTATTTCTGAGATGTGACATCGCATTTGTTCATGTTTTAACACATGTCCAGTGCATTTGAAATTGAGTCCACGTGTTTTTAGTTTTGTGGATAATAAAATTTATTTGTTTTATACCTCATTTATGATAGATTGAACTGTGTACCTTCTTTAGCGGCATTTAAAAGCTGTTCATCCAAATCAGAATTGATACGGGCTGATCTCACTACGAGACACATGGATAATAAAACGAACAAATATTTCAATTTCATCGTCACGAAAGTTATATGGTATAAAAAAATGTTCAATATTTTCTTCTATTATAAAAAATCGACTCTTTTCAATGGTGTATACGAGACTTATCAAAGTAATTGCCATAGCACAATTTTTATATTCGTTTCGAGTGCTTTTTGAAAATGGAATAATATTGAGATTACGTTATGATCATTCAATCCAGGGCGTACACAGATTTACGTCTAGGGGTAAGACAAATGAAAAAAAAA